AAACATTGGATCAATTGAATGACCGAAAGATTTCTTCAGATATTATTGATATAAGGTTTGGAACTAATGTCCGATTGAAGGGATCATCAGATGATCAACAATTGAAGCCAAGAAGTGATGACACAAACGATAAGAGCGAAGACATGAATGAAGACACGACTGAAGACATCAATGATTTGATTTTGAGACCAAATGTCTCTGAAATACTCAAAGATAATTGTGTGGAACCGATGAATGTATTGAATACAGAAAAGCATACGTTAGTCAACAATACATCAAATCCCTCGACATCTCAATCCTCATCACAAGAGATGGTTAACCAAGAGATCATTGATATTAGTAATGAAGACTCGATGGAAGACTCAATGCAACCAAAATTGTTGACTGAATTTTTGCCCCAAAGTGTTCGCCAAAGAGACAAATCTAATGCATTGACAACCCATGCGTTGATTTGTCCGCCAAATGCGGGCCAAAAGACATTTAATCTAATGATTTTGTCGCCACCGATAACTCAATCGCTGCCACAACTCATTGTTAATCAACCGCTGGTCACAAACACAAATCAAGTGATTGTTACCCAACCGGTCATCAAAAACAACAAAATATTGATCCCAAGAATCAATCGAGTGATTGATAAGAAAGCGGTGATCAAAAGCACTCGCGAAGAGTTGATTGAGAAAATGAACTTAAGTTATTCCTCGACGTCTGCGCTCAATATGAATGTGAGGCAAAAATTCTACGATTTGACGACAAAGACATACATTTGTCCCATAAATGAGTGCCACAAAAGTGGCCAAAATGACGAGTGGTTTCGGGACCACTTGAAGACAATGCACTCAAAGCAACTATTTATCTGCGACTTTGAAGGCTGTGGTAAAGGCTTTAAGACAAACCAACAGTTAGAACGGCATTCATTTACACACAAAACAATTAAATCATTTAAATGTGATTATNATTTGTCCCATAAATGAGTGCCACAAAAGTGGCCAAAATGACGAGTGGTTTCGGGACCACTTGAAGACAATGCACTCAAAGCAACTATTTATCTGCGACTTTGAAGGCTGTGGTAAAGGCTTTAAGACAAACCAACAGTTAGAACGGCATTCATTTACACACAAAACAATTAAATCATTTAAATGTGATTATAATGGCTGTGAATATCGTGGCGTTAGTCAAAAGTTATTGACACAACACGTGAAGACACACTCGACAACTGAGATGTCATTTAAATGTGATTTCATTGGTTGCGAGAAGACATTTAAGACTAAAAGTGGTCAACATTATCACCGCAAGACTCACGAGAGTGAACCGACGTATAAGTGCGGAACCGGCGGCTGTGACGAGACGTTTCATAGCGTACACATGCGGTACAGACATCAGGTGGCGGTTCATAACCGTCAGCTGTTTAAGTCACGTCAGGGACCGCGAAAGCGCCGCCGCTGCCAATGGCCGGGATGTGATTACTTCGGCCGATGTATGTCGAGACACACACGCATCCACACCGATGAGCGCCAACACCCGTGTGTTTGGCCCGATTGTGGCAAACGGTTTAGATCTAGCGATCGGCTCAAAGAGCACATGAATATCCATAATAACGTGAAGCCGTTTGGATGCGATTGGCCGGGATGTACATACAGTGCCGCTAATAGTAGTAATGTTATTAAGCATAGAAAACAAGTCCACAAAATGTAATCTAATTGTAATTGAATTTTATTATTGATTTAATAAAACAATATTTAATAGTCATTTGGTTTCTGTTTCCTAAGAGTATTTACTATGAGTTTATGGCTTAAGAATTAGGGAACAGAAGTATAAAGTGATGGTTAGTGTTGGGAGTGAAGGCTAGACATGGATTTAATCAATATTTTTTTGTGTAATTATACTTAGTTTTAATTTAATCTGTGATTTGTTTGAACACATTGTATGCAATTCTCACTCGTGTTTCACAAAAACATTATTTTTATTCACGTTATTATTGATTGAAATTCTCTTCACTTCTCATATGTTTTCACTTTTTGTTGACATTTTTGTCATTCATTTGTTGTTTTAGTTTTGGACTTAAATTGTATTTAAATTAATTGTGAATCAGTTTTAAATCTGACTTTGAATTCAATTATGGATTCAATTATTTATATAAACGATATTTTGGATGAATTATTGTCTGAAAACAATAGACTTTTACATGAAATTCAATGTTTAGATGAAATGAAAACACATTTAATTAAAATTCACTCAAAATATGAAACACTCATCGATTCAGAAGACAATCAACACTTCCGGACATTATCTCAAACATTGGATCAATTGAATGAGCAGAAGAGCACACGAGTTAACGACAATTATATTAGCATTGAATCTGATTCGCGACTTAAGAGTCCATCGAAACTACAATTAAAGCGAAGAAGAAAACCTCGAAAACAAGAAGTGATACAAACTTTCAATGACAAGAATACCACTCGTGATGAACAAATCAGTGGATCAGATGTACGGCCAAAGAGTTCATCAATTGATAAACAATTGA